TTTTTGGGGTGGTCTGGGCTGACACCTGAGGTGAACCACAACCCCCCTGGGATTAAGGGGTGAGTGCAGCGCCCAGGAGACCCCAGAGGGCAGCACCTGCCATTTGCTCCCTAGGGGAGGAGAGCAGCAGCGCCTTCGGTTTGTGGGGCCCCTGGAGGCAATGCTTTTCTTTGATCTGCTGCCCTGTGGCTCTGCCACCCTTGCCTCATGGGTGGGCAGGCCCTGGTGGTTGACTCCAAGGAGAAGGCAAGGGCTCTCTGAGAGGGCGTTTGGAGGAGCCAGTCCTTGGAAGACTGTAGCCATGTAGCTCAGTGTTGTCTGCACTGGCTGGCAGCTGCTCTCTAGGTGGGATGGACCCTGGACTCTTCTGCACACCAAGCCAGGTGCTCCACAAACAGCTGCAGCCCACAATGGGGCCTGAGGGGAGGCAGGCTGACTGGCCAGGCAGGGAGGAGGAGGAGGAGGAGGAGCTGGCTGGGCAAGCTGCCAGCCAGAGGAGATCCCTGCTGGGGGGCCAAGAGCCCTACAGGACTGGACACAGTCACGGGGGGGGGGGGGATGGAACCAGCACCTACCTTCCATGTCTTGAAGAGGAGGTAGATGCAGACCTGGCCCTCAGCGTGTGGGTGGGACACAGAGACACTTCTTAGCCCACCTAATTGTAGGAAGGATGGAGGCTTCCAGGTCTGGCTGCAATGCCTGCTAGACCCTGGGGCAACCATCCTGCGCCCCTTGGGGTGGGGTTCCTCATGTGCTGGATGATAATAATAATAATAATAATAATAATAATAATAATAATAATAATAATTTATTATTTATACCCCGCCCATCTGGCTGGGCCTCCCCAGCCACTCTGGGCGGCTTCCATAGAAACCAAAAATACAGTAAAATATCACACGTTAAAAACGTCCCTGAACAGGGCTGCCTTAAGATGTCTTCTGAATGTCAGGTAGTTGTTTATCGCTTTGACATCTGATAGGAGGGCGTTCCACAGGGCAGGCGCCACTACCGAGAAGGCCCTCTGCCTGGTTCCCTGTAGCTTTGCTTCTCGCAATGAGGGAACCGCCAGAAGGCCCTCAGTGCTGGACCTCAGTGTCTGGGCAGAATGATGGGGGTGGAGACGCTCCTTCAGGTCTACTGGACCGAGGCCGTTTAGGGCTTTAAAGGTCAGCACCAACACTTTGAATTGAGGCTGCCTTGCCCTTCTGCAGAGCTCTGACGCCCATGCTCTGTCTCATGGCCCCAGGTGTGGGGGTGGCAGGGATTCATTTCTGCCCTGGGGAGCTGCCTAGCAGAGCCCACCAGGTGCTTTGGATAGGACGGGAGAACTAATGTAAGCTTGAGATCATTCCACTTCCCAACCTGAGGATGTGAAAGTGGTCAATCCAAAAGGGATGCAGTTGGAGGCGAGAAGAGCGGGGGAAAGGGTTTATGTTGACGCCCAATGAGGCGTCGCCCCAAAAGGCATTGTGAGGATTCCTCAGGCGGCTGAATAAGCAGTAAAAGGGCAATTGCAGCTCAGTGAAAATAAGTGTACAGTGATGCACATTGCTGCAAAATAAATACACCTTAAATTTCATAGCATTGTAGAATTGGAAGGTACCTCAAGGGTCATCTAGCCCAACCCCTTGCAGTGCAGAATAAAACAGCTAAAGAATTCATCAGAGAGTCCGTTTCATTGTGTTAACAGCTCTTGCTCTCAGATGGTTCCTTCTGGTGTACAGTCAGTCTATTGCCGGTTGAGTTCTGCCCTGCAGAGCAGGAAAACAAGCTTGCTTCATCTTCCTTTTGACCACCTTTAGAGATTTGAAGATGGCTCTCATATCTCCTCTCAGTCTCCTCTTTTCCAAGCTAAACATACCCAGCTCCTTCAACTGTTCCTCATAAGGCTTGGTTCCCAGACCCTCTGCACACGTTCCAGCTTGTCAACATCCTCCTTAAATTCTGGTGGCCAGAACTGGACACTGTATTCCAGGTGTGGCCTGACCATGGCAGAGGAGAGAGGGACTATGACTTCCCTTGATCTGGACACTAGACTTCTGTTGAGGCAGCCTAGAGTAGCATTTTCTGCTGCTGCACCACACTGTTGACTCATGTTAAGCTTGTGGTCCTAAGACCCCTGGATCTTTTTCACATGTCCTACTGGCAGTGGCGTAGCGTGGGTTGTCAGCACCCGGGGCAAGGCAAGTAATTTGCGCCCCCTAACCCGTGGATTTGCGCCCCCTAACCCTAACCCCCAGATGTTGCGCCCGGTGCGGCCGGCCCCCCTGCACCCCCACTGCCTACTGGTAAGCCAGATGTTCCTCATCTTATATGTGTGCATCTGGTTCTTCCTGCTTAAGTGCAGAACCTTACATTTGTTCCTATTGAAATTCATTTTGTTAGCTTGTGCCAAATTCTCCAAGCTGTTGTGCTCATTTTGAATCTTGCTTCTGTCTTCTATTGCATTGGCCACCCCTCCCAGTTTGGTGCCATCTGCAAATTGGATGAGCACCCCCTCAACCCCTTCATCTAAGTCATTTATAGATGTTGAAGGACAACCGGCCCAGGACAGAACCCTGTGACACCCCACTTGTCACTTTTTTCCAGGATGACGAAGATCCATTGCAGTGTTTCCCAACCGGTGTTCCGCGGCACACTAGTGTGCCGCCAGATGTTGCCTGGTGTGCCGCGGGAAAAATTGGCGGGGGGGGGGAATAAAGGGGAAAAAAATTATTCCCCCACCGCCAGGCGTGGGGCTGGGGCGGGGGAAGCCCGAGCTTCCCCCTCCCCCAGAACGGGACCCAGAGCCATGCCGAAGCTGCGCGCAGCTTTGGCATCGCTCTGGGAGCTTGCGGGGCTGGGGGAGGAGGAAGCCCTCCGCCAGCCTCCAAACCATGTCGGGAGACAGCGGGATGGCGCGCTGCGCCTCTCCCGCTGTCCCCCGAGTTTGCAGGGCTGGCGATGGGGAGGAGCAGGCTTCTCCCCCCGCCAGCCTTCCAGCCAAGTCGGGGGGCAGCGGCAAGGGCGCGCTGCGCCTCTCCCGCTGTCCCCCGAGTTTGCAGGGCTGGCGATGGGGAGGAGCAGGCTTCTCCCCCCGCCAGCCTTCCAGCCAAGTCGGGGGGCAGCGGCAAGGGCGCGCTGCGCCTCTCCCGCTGTCCCCCGAGTTTGCAGGGCTGGCGATGGGAGGAGCAGGCTTCTCCCCCCGCCAGCCTTCCAGCCAAGTCGGGGGGCAGCGGCAAGGGCGCGCTGCGCCTCTCCCGCTGTCCCCCGAGTTTGCAGGGCTGGCGATGGGGAGGAGCAGGCTTCTCCCCCGCCAGCCTTCCAGCCAAGTCGGGGGGCAGCAGCAAGGGCGCGCTGTGCCTCTCCCGCTGTCCCCCGAGTTTGCGGGGCTGGCGATGGGGAGAAGCAGGCTTCTCCCCCCGCCAGCCTTCCAGCCAAGTCGGGGGACAACGGGAATGGCGCGCTGCCTTTCTCCGCTGTCCCGGACGGCTTTCAAAAGCCTGCCTTCAAAAGCCGTCCGGGACAGCGGAGAAACGCGCTGCCTTTCTCTGCTCTCCCGGGAAGGCAGGCAGGGGGGGAGCAAAGACTTTCGCCCCCGCCCACCTTCAGAAGAAGTCCAGGACCTCTTCTGAAGGCGGGCGGGGGGCGAAAATCTTTGTCCCCCCTGCCTGCCTTCCCAGGGGCTTTTAAATCGCCCCGGACAGCGGAGAAGTCCTCCGCTGTCCCGGGCGATTTTAAAATGCCGCCCGCCAGCATTTTAAGATTGCCCCGGACAGCGGAGAAGTCCTCCGCTGTCCTGGGGTTTTTTAAAATGCTGGGGGTGGGAAGAAAAGCCCTTGTCCCCCCCCCCAGCCTTCAGAAGAGGTCGGGGGACAGACTGTCCCCGGACCTGGTCTGAAGGCGGTTTCCCTAGGAACGCATTAATTGATTTTCAATGCATTCCTATGGGAAACCGTGCATCGCAAGACGAAAAACTCGCAAGACGAAGAGACTTGCGGAATGAATTAATTTCGTCTTGCGAGGCACCACTGTATCCGGAGAGGCGGCCTTCAGGCGAGTTTTAATTTTAATTTTCCTTCTCCCACTTAATGCCCCACGCTCGCCCGAGCAGCTTGCAGTCCTCGGTAACCACGGCGACCCGAGGGAGGGGAGGGAACAGGGAAGTCGAGGGCGGCGGCGAGCCGCGATGACGTCAGTGGGCCGCGCCGCCTCGCCCTGGCACGGTGTGAGAGCCCCGGCTAGTGGTGCGAGCTTCAGAATAAGTGGGATCCGCGTGCGCTGCGCGCTGACGTCACGGGGCTGTAATGGTGGTGTGCCTCGAGATTTTTTTCATGAAACAAGTGTGCCTTTGCCCAAAAAAGGTTGGGAAACACTGCATTAAGGAGTCCTCTTTGGGCTCAGTCAGTTAACCAGCTACAAATCCACCTAACGGTTACCTCCTTCAACCCACATTTTACAAAGGCTTTTAACATTTGAAAAAAGGTGCCGGTACTGTGTACCCTTGAGCACCCCTCCATCCACCCCCCCCAAGCAAGTCACGATCCGCTCCGTCCCCCGTTTTCCTAGACGGCGCCCCCAGTTTGCCATGGGGGCGGGAGGGGGCGTGCGCTCTCCCCACGGCAAGAGTTCGGCAGCTGCAACTCCCAGCCCCCCACGCCGAGGGTCCTTCGCCCTCCCCGCCCCGCAGCTGGTGGGCGCTGCCGTTCCCCTGGGCTCTGCCGCCGCGTGGCTCCCCTGCCTGCCCCCCATTCGACTCCAGTTGCCCCCGCCCGGAGCAACGGACGGGGCGCCCGCCAGCCGCGCCCGGGAACGGCACTGGGGGGGGTCCCCCTCGTCCCGGATCGGAAGGCGCCCGGGAGCCCCTGAGCTGCCCCCGCGACGCCGCCGCCGCCGCCGCGCCCCCCGGGCCCGAGGAGCAGGAGGAGGAGCCGCCGCCGCCGCCCTGCCTCCGCGCCCGCCCCCGGCGCCGGCCGGGATGTGATGTCAGGCGGGCGGAAGCGGCGGGGGGCCGAGGGAGCGGCGGGGGCGGAAGCAGCGCGTCTTCCTGGGCGCCGGGACCGGCTGGGCTCGCACCCCGTCGGGGCTCGGGGGCGGCGGCCATGACTCTGGCCGTCTTCTTCGGCTGCGCCTTCATCGCCTTCGGGCCGGCGCTGGCGCTCTTCCTGCTGACGGTGGTGGCCGAGCCGCTGCGCATCATCATCCTCATCGCAGGGTCAGTGCCGGGGGGGCGGGAAGGCGGGGGCCCGGCCTCTCTCTGGGGAGGGCACCGGCGGAGGAAGAGGGTGCCCTGGGTGCGGCCCGGCCCGGTGTCATCCCGGGGGGGGGGGGAGACATCGGCGCGCCCCCCCCGGGACTCCCCCCACCCCCGAGGCCGGCTAGCCCCGCCCCCGGTGCCCAGTATGTGCTGGAGCAGCCAGCTGCGCCTCTGGCTGCCGGTGGGCTTGGGGGGCGGGGGCGATGCCTGGGCCCTGGGGCTCCTGGGCCAGCCCGGGGGGCGCCTGGCTGGGGGGCGCCGGTGACCTTGGCCCTCCTCTCCTCCGGCTGCAGGGCCTTCTTCTGGCTGGCCTCGCTGCTCTTCTCCTCGCTGGTCTGGTTCATCGCGGCCAAGGCCAGCGACCCGTCCAACGAGGCGCTCCAGAGGGGCCTCCTCATCTTCGGCGTCATCTTCTCGGTGCTGCTGCAGGAGGCCTTCCGCTTCCTCTACTACAAGCTGCTCAGGTAGGGGCGCTGGGGGGCACAGCCTTGGGCCAGGAAAGGTCCCTTTGAAGCCGAGTCCTGCGCTGCCAAGGGGACCCTCCCTCCCAGCAACCCAGCGACAAACCCGGGGGGGGGGAAGAAGCAGTGGTGGAAGCTGCAGGTGGCAAGCGAGGCCCCCCGGGAGTCACCGCCCAACCAGCCTGATGCCAGTCCTGGGCAAAATGATGCTGCCCATGACCCCTTACGCCACGTGGATACCACAGATTGTCCAGGTGCCCATTTTTGACCCCCAGAAAAGAAGGCCTGGCAGCACCGGGAGAAGCCTCTGCCTAAATGCCTGGACTGCTGTGGCTGCTGCCGGTCAGGGCAGGCTGTGCAGGGCCAGGTGGGTGGGGGGAGGGACGTGGGGGCACCAGGCAGCTCCCCCTCTTCCTGTCGGTGGTGGGTTGAGCAGCCACAGACAAGGGGGGCTGGTTAGGGGTTCATCCTGGAGGGAGGCTGGGGGGGCAGGGCTCTCCCCTGCCTCTTCATAATTCCTGGGACCTGTGGCAATGTTATAGATGTCAGTGATCTGAAGGAAACAAAGCTGCATGAAGCAATGTAGCGCCATGAGAAAATACAGATTAAACTGGCATATGAAGAGGCTTCTCAGAGCAGATCCTTAGGCGGATTGAATATTGGGCCTCCCTGAGCCTCTCTGCTTGTGCATCGGAACGTCTTCCCTTCCCCGGTCATTTTGGACTGATGCTGAGGGATTCCCACCCAGGCCTGAGGGTCCCGATCCCACAGCCTCCAGCTGGGCAAGAGCATGGGAAGCCAAAGAGGGAGGCAGCGAGCAGAGGAAGCAAGACTGTTCTTTGCACTCCTCTTGCGCTGAGGAGGAGCTGCAGTGGAAGGCTGCACCTTGGACCCTTCCTGCTTCTTCGGCCGTCTTCACTCGGATCTCTTTGGGCTCCGACGCGTCTTATCATGCAAAAGGCTGCCTTTCCCCCATAATCTTGCCTTCCAAGGTTGCCGTCAGCGCAATGATCCTTCCTGTTTCCAGCACTAACTTGTTGCACCCTCCCCCGACCCCCATGAGGACTGTGGGGTGGAGGAGACTCCAGGGCAAAGTGAGATCCCTGGGGCAGAGACGGTGTGGGTTGCCCCACAGTCCACCACAGGGGCTTGGCAGACGCAGCAATGGCTGCTGCGGGGGCAGAGGAGATACTGGTCTGCAAGGGGTCTTTCCTGGGCCTTTGGTCCCATTGAGGCCAGTGTGCCTGTCTTGTCTGCAGGACCCCCCCCCCATCCACCTCTGGAGCTCAGAGATTCCCCTCGAAGGCTAATCCTGATGAGCGCCACCCGTGAGGAGCCCCATTGGGAGAGATGGTGGGCTGCCCCATGACTGCGAAGGCCAGCAGGGGGGCTTGCCTTGCGTGGACTCCAATCATCAGCTTGGCTGGGGGTTTCTTCTGCGCAGACTTTATTCTCCTGAAATCAAGTTGAAAATAGAGTCAGAAAGGAAGGGTGCCCCTCTCATGGCACCAAGACTGCAGGCTCTCGTTGTGATTCCTGCCTTGCGGAGGGGGTCCCTTGGGGGTCCCTTCCAACTCTGCAGTTCTCGGGTACTAAGACAGGCCAAAGTGCTTAAGGTGAGAGATGCTGGAGATTTCCAGTACAGAACTCAGGATTCCTTCTCTCCCCTGACCAGGAAGGCGATTGAGGGGCTGTTGGCCTTGAGTGAAGATGGCTGCTCTCCCATCTCCATCCAGCAGATGGCGTACGGTGCGTTTCTAGAGGGCAGGGAAGAGAAATGGGCAAAAGGCAGGCGCTCTCAGCCCAGGCGTACGGTGGGGATTGGGAGGGAGGGAGAAAGGAGGCCCGAAGGTGGGGGTGGGGGGTGGGGTCCCACTTCTATATCCATGGGAGGGGCTGCTTGAGCGCACCCCCCCCCCTGGTCCAGACAATCTGGGGCTGAGCCATCTCCCTTCTGGGAGGGAAAAGAGCAGTCCAGGAAGGGGTGGAGAAGATGGGGAGGCTCTGGGAGCATTCCTGGTGAAATGTCTGGGTCTGAGGAGGGGGTGGGGGTGGGGTCCCACGGTCTGACTCTGCGCACAACGGCTTCTTCCCCGCAGTGGCCGGCCTGGGCTTTGGCCTCATGAGTGGGGCCTTCTCCATGATCAACCTGCTGGCGGACGCTCTGGGGCCCGGCACGGTGGGCATCCACGGGGACTCCCAGCTCTACTTCCTGACGTCAGGTAAGGGTCTCCAGAGGCTCCCCCCCCGACCCCTCTGGCCTGCCTCCTCCCTGCCTAACGGATGCTCTCTCCCGCCTCAGCCTTCATGACGCTGGTGCTGGTCCTTCTGCACACCTTCTGGGGGATCATCTTCTTCCACGGTTGTGAGACCAAGCAGTGGTGGGAAGTGGGGGCTGTGGTGCTCACCCACCTGATCGTCTCTGGCCTGGTGAGTAGCTGGAGGGCAGAGAGGGGCTCACTTCTCATGCTGCTGCTTGCCAAAAACAGGCTTCGTTCATTTATTTATTTGCTATAAAGGTGCAGCATAAAACAAACAGTATATTGCATAATAAACAAACCGGGGCAACATTTATTCTTTTATTATAAAGGAAGGATAAAAGAATAAATGGAATATAAAAGAATGGCATCAATGAAGTCAAGCTACCAAAAACAAATCCTGGGTGATAAAGGGCAGAGAAGGGAGCAGCTGCCATGGGGGGGGGGCAGGGGCTTGGGGTCGAGTGGTGCAGTCTTGACACTGCGCCTGCTCTGTGCTGAGCTCCCTGCCGCCCCCCCCCCCCCCGCTGCCAGTGACTGGCAGTGATGTGGGGCTGGGAAGGGGAGAGGGAAAGCACTGCCACCCCCTGCGGCCACCCCACGGGCTGCTATGGGGTGTCTCTTCCACACTCTCCATTCCAACTCCCTTAAGAAGTAAGAAAATGCATTAATCTAAATCATAAAGGAATAAGTGAAATAATACTGACCTGGGTCTTCCAAATTCCCAACTGTTCTTAACTTGCTAGTATTTGGTATTTTAATAGTTGTTTTTTTTAAATGAATCTCCAGAGAAATTGCATTGAATTTGCTGTTATTTAGCTACATTTAATTGCCAGCATAAAGCAGTCTGTATCTGCCTCTCAAATAGAAAATTCAGCACTGCAAAGTCATGTCCCAGGTAAAAAGAAGAAGAGCCCCCAAAGTGTTTGTAGTCTTTATGCAAAAGTTAGAAGAACTTCTGGTATAAAATTAGTATTACCAGACAGGAGAAGCAAGTTTTACAGGGGAGGGAGGCGTGTGATGGAGAAGTCTAATTGGAGCTTTGAATGGAATCCGTGAAGCTGCTCCATGGAGGGAATCAGTCCATGTCCACAGAAAAGGAAATGCTTTGGGGGGAAATGGGAATGGCATGAAAGGATGGGGAAGACCCTGCTAGTCTCTTCATGTTCAGAGGTCAAAGGAGCAGGCAGAGAAGTCTGGAAAGCCAGCTGAGGAGAAGCAGCTCTCCAAAAGCTCCCTGAGGAATAGATCCTTGAAAGTCCCCGAAAAAAGGACAGAGCCATTTTTACCTTGTACCCAAATGCTTCTCATGCGGGGGCCAGTTGAAAATCCCCTGGGAGGGAGTTGCGTCAAGGGGGCACCACCACCGAGAAGGCCCTGCCTCTTGCCCCTGGGCTGCCGCCGCAAGTCAGGCCAGCCCTGCAGGAGCCCCACAGAAGGAGCTCTTGTCCCAAGCCCTGGGGTCCCAAGGCGCTCCGGGCTCTGGGTGCAACCAGCCAGGCCCAGTTGCCCACTGGCAGCCAGTGCATGCTTAGGGATTGGGGTGGATGGTGATACACCTCACACCCCCCATGATGCTCCTCTAGGATCTGGGCTTCCCACGCTCTCAGAGAGGTGCCCCTTGCCACACTCCGGCGTCCGCGATGGTGCATTCATGGAGAAACCGCTTCAGGAAGCAGCAGCCAGCTCCCAAGTGCGCTGGGTGGGGGGGAGAGAGAATGGGCTGGCCCCAGACTTGGGGACCCCCCCCCCCCCCCGTTCTGCTCTCCCACCCTTCCCTGCCTCTCCTGTCCCATCTTCCGAAGACCCAGCATAGGCGCTCCTGGGCACCTTCTGCCCTCACCTGTGCCGAGAGAGCTCCGAGGCGGCTTCCTGAACCCAGCACTTTGGTCATGGGGAGCTCAGGCGCTGTATTGGAGAGGTGTGTGTGTTGACACCCCCCCCCTTTGATCTAGGCCAGCACACCTGAAACAAGGTGAATGGAGTGTCTGGGTCACCATGAAAGGGGGCCGTGATGGTCCTCTGAGGGGCCTCACCGCCCCCCCACTGCTGGCAGCCAAAGGGTGAGGCAGGTCTGAGATACTTCTTCCATTCAGTTGTCAGACCAGCAGAAATCTGAACAGGCCAATTCTTAGATGACGGGTAGGAGCAAGTTCTCAAGGACATGCTAAAAATCCTAAAAAGACAAGAAAAGCAGCAGCACATTTGAGAACTATCCTGCAAAGGAGAAAATGGAGAAGTTTCATTCAGAATGAAACTCAATTCCTGCCCTTCTTCACCTTACATTTAGCAAAAAGGGATTCAAAATCCTAGGTTAGAATCAGAGTTGTTGCTGAAAGGGGACCCCAAAGGTCATCTGGCCCAGCCCCCTGCAGTGCAGGAACCAGAGCTAAAGAATCCCTCACAGATGACCACCCAATCTCTGCTGAAAACCTTCCAAGGCAGGAGATTCCACCACCACCCAAGGGAGCCTTTTGACTACAGTCATAGCTCATGCTGTTTGCTTCATGATAGGTGTTTTCAGGTTGCATCCCGTAGCGACCCGGAAGTACCGGCAAGGGTTACTTCCAGGTTTTGCCGCTCACACATGCGCAGACGCAGCGAATTGCAACCCGCGCGTGCGCAGACGTGCTGCTGTGGGTTGCGTTCTATTCATGTTGCGAACGGGCCTCCGGAACGGATCCTGTTCGCAACCAGAGGTACCACTGTACATCTGTTGATGCAGTCTAGAATAGCATTAATCCTTTTTGCTGCTGCATCACACGGTGGACTCATGTTAAGACCCCTGGATCCTTTCACATGTTTTGCTGGCAAGCCAGGTGTCCCTCATTGTGTCCATTTGTGCACTTGGTTCTTCCCGTCTAATTGCAAAACCTGACATTTGTCCCTATGGAAATGCCTTTTGTTAGTTCTTCCTTCAGAAGCATTCACTTCCCCTCCCTGTTTGTCTGCTGCAATGTGATGTTGTCTCCCTTCCTGCAGACGTTCTGGAACCCGATCTACCTGGGGAGCCTCCTCCCTGCCTACCTGCTCATGGCAGGTGCTGCCGTCTGGGCCTTCCACGTCTCTGGCGGCTCCAAAGAGAACCTGCGCCACTTCCTCCTGTGTAAGTATGGCCAGAGGTTGCCCCAGGGCCAGCCACACCCGTCACCCTGGCTCCAAGCAGCAACCCCCGCAGAGGCCTTTGGCTCTCCCTGGAGGTGGCCCCTCCATCTCCCGGGGCTTGAGGTCCCAGGCTCTTTGCCTCTGACCCCCTCTGTCTGTTTCCACAGGCCTGCGGAGTGGGACAGCGCCACCGCCCGGATCCTGAGGCCCCTCTGGGCTCCCCCGCCCTGTCCTTTGGAGCCATTTGCTGAGGCCAGGAGGACGCAGCTGCTGTGCCTTTGGGAGTGCTTCTGGGCCCGAGGAGGGGGCCGCTGGACTTGCCCCCCGAAGTTGCCGTAGAAGGTCTGGGCACAAGGGGCGCTGCAGCAGAGCTCCTGGACCCTGTGAATCTGCAGCAAAAGCCCCCTCCCTCCAGAGAGGGGTTTCTGGCCAGCTGGCGTTGTTTAAATAGGGGGTGGGCTTTGGGGGTGCTGGGCGAATGACAGGTGCCGGCATAGGGTGTTGGGGGGGTGAGCATCTGTCTCTGTGGGGTGGGGGTGCAGAGGGAGAGCCAGCTGTGTGGTCTGCTTAGAGGAGAGAGGGGATCGGGGTGGGGGTTACTGGGGAAGGGGGAGTGCCCCACATGGCCTCTTTCTTTCATGGGGGCACATCTCTGCACATTTGTACTAATAAAAATGCTGGATGAGGCCCACAGTGTGCGTACCTGTCTGAGCAGTGGTGGGGTTGATGGTGCTACACTGAGGGAGGGGGGCTTCAGAGAGGGGGCTGCATCCTCTGAGAAATAGGGCTGGGTTGGCTGCTGGTTGCTTCAGGGGCTCCTCCTGTTCGGATTGTGTTTCTGGGGGCGGCAAGATGTCCTTTGGTGTCCTTCCAGTCTGATGAGAAACGGTTGAGGGGGCTGGTTTTGTTTAGGCTGGAAAAGAGGAGACTGAGAGGAGATAGGAGAGCCATCCTCAAATATCCCAAAAGGGAGCAAGCTTGTTTTCGCCTGCTCTGGAGGGTAAGCTTCAAACCAATGGCTTCAAATTACAAGAAAGGAGATTCCAGCTAAACCTCAGGAGGAACTTTCTGGTGTCTCCCTCTGCAGCAGTGTTTCCCAACCTTTGGCCTCCAGCTGTTTTGGACTACAACTCCCATCTTCCATGGCCACTGGTCTTGCTAGCTAGGGATGATGGGAGTTGTAGTCCAAAAGCAGCTTGAGACCCAAAGTTGGGAAACGCTGCTCTGGAGGATGTGGATTCCCCTTCCTTGGGGGTTTTTAAGCACAGCTTGGATGGCCACCTGCCATGGATGCTTGAGTTGAAATTCCTTCATTGCAGAGGGTTGGGCTAGATGCCTCTCAGGGTCCCTTCCAACTCTACAGTTCTGTTAAATGAATAAATACTTTTGGGTAATTGGACCTCAGTTAATCCAGGGTTTTCAACACTAGTACTAATTGGGCCCTAAAATGCCTCTTGTTTCGTTGTATCCTCTGGGACAATTTTTCAATGTGGAGAGCACCCAAATATAGAAAGAAACACAGTTTATTTGATAAACTACACAGGTAAGGCCACATGAACCTCCTCCTCCAACCGTCCTCAAACCTTTCCTTTATGGAAAAAGTTAATATAGCTCCAAATAACTGCCATGAAGATGCATCCTGAGAGCATTAAGCCTGAGCTCTTTGACTGCCTCTCCCTTTGCTGGGCTTATCCTGCTTCTGACATCATGGTTTGTTTGAGTTTTATACCACCCTTCACTGATGCCCTAAGGATACACCTGCATTCAACCTCAGCCATATCCACAGAAACCCCCGTGGCCAGTCAACCTCTGCAACTAGCTTCCCATCAGCCTGACACTCCAGCAATGTCAGCCATTAAAGAAAACAGAAATAAATAGAAGAAAAGAGGGGCATTGGTGGTGAAGGGGTCTTCACCTGGTCCATCTCTGTTCTCTGATTGTTATCCATTCTTGCTTCAAGTTGGGACTCAGGAAGTCTGGCCTTTAAATCCATGCCCAGAACATGGTGCCTTCACATCAAGCCAGTGTGAAGAGAGCAATCCTGGTGGTGCCAGGCTGATTCCAGTGCCAGGAGGGCCCTTGCCAGCCTCTGCCAGCTGGTGCGAAGGGAGGCCAGTCCTGCTTGGCTGACTCACTCCTTGTTTCTCCCCATGTCAAGTGGTGAGAAGGACAAAACAGTAACCTAAGTAGAGCCTGGCTGCTGGATCAGGCCAAGGGCCAGAGTGTTCTGCATCCTGTTCTCACATTATGGGAAACCTGCAAGCAGAACAGGCAGAAAGCCGAAAAGTCCTGCTTGCAGCTGCCTTTCAGCCACCACACCAGGAACCTCAGCCGAGGGATCTTGACAGGTGGCAAGGACATCTCACCTGTCAATCAGGTGACAGCATGAGGTCATGTGATTCACAGTCAGCCAGCTTCACCCACCTGCCAGCTTTAGCAAAGGCTGGTCTTGACAAGGAGCCAAAAATGTCCCCTGGCCCTGCTTTACAGAGCTGGCCTGTTGGGCCCCTCCCCCCTTCCTGCGGCTCAGCCTCAGGGCCATTCCAGCAGGCGGCTGCCCCCTAGGCTACAGGGACGTCTCTTGCCACAGGCCCTCCCTCCCCCCTGCTATAAAGGTGCCCACCACCCACTGCCATTGGGCCTGGCACTGCAGCCGAGTCCAGAAGCCACTGGGTCTTTGAGCTCCACACTTTCTCCAGAGACAGTGGCTCTCCGGGGCTCAGGCCGGGACTCTTTCCCAACTCTGCCTTGAAATGCTGGGGGTTCACCTGGAGAACTACTACCTGCAAAGCAGGTGCTCTACCACTGAGCTACAGCCCTTCCCCCACCCCAGCTGGTTTATTGGCCATGGCAATTCAGTCACCAAACTTGTCTATGTGCTCTTGGGCTTCTGATTTCTCTTGAACGACTGACATGGCAGCGCCAGTCTGGCAAAGTAGTCTTGATCCATTCCCCCGTGGCATCCTGACATTTCCCTCTCCTGTATAGTCCTAGAATTGAGGAGTTGGAAGGACCCAAAGAGTCATCTAGTCCAACCCTCTGCAACCCGCAGTTTCCAGGGAGGCCTCCTTTCTGGTATGTGCACAGCATGGTTGAGGTGTGCTGTGCTGCCCAAGGCCCTTTTGCCCATCCATGCCTTGTGTCTTCATGCCCGGATCCAGGGCCACGCTTCATTTCCCAGCCGAAGGACACCCCACAGCTAAGTGGGCATCAGAAGCAGCAGGGCTTGAGCCTCTGGGGGCAGAAGCAGGCCAGGCTGGCTCTGAGGCCTCCCTTCCCCTCTCCCTGAAGCCCTGCTCTTTCAGGCGGGGTGGGGAGGGGGCTCCCCGGGAAGAGGGTGGGCTGTCCTTCACATCAGGGATGCTTGAGCTTTGGTTCCTGCACTGCAGGGAGTTGGACTGGATGACCTCAGGGGTCCCTTCCAGCCCAGCACATCTGTGACTCTCTTTTAAAAAGTGGGCAGAGATGGGAGCATGTGCTTCAAACCTTTTTGTAATGCAAAAAAGAACTGACACAATAAAGGCCTGGTTCCATTGTGGGTTCTTGTAAAAAGGGGGTGGGGTGCAAGAGGGTCTCAGTTCACAACAAATGCTCTGTGTGCGGCCTTTGCAACCCAGCAGCTGCCGCAGCGAAGTCCACACCCAGCCAGGCTTCCATCCCATCCAGGCAGACCGGAGTGCTGGTGGGCAAGGAAACCATAGGAAAGGAACAGAAACGGGAAACAAAATATACCGCATCACATACTAAGGGGAAGAGGAAGAGGAGACCAAAGGAAAATGCGGAAATGCTACATTTCTCTTCCATCTCCTCCCCGTACATATTTCTCCTGGTTGTAACATTCCCAGTAAAACCCAGTAAAAACGTTTTCGGGATGAAAAAAGAAAGGTGCCTCAATCAACGGAAATGAAGCCGTGAATCAGATTGTGAGTGTGAGAGGAAGAGAGGGGGCTGCTCCTGTTGCTCTTGCAGCTGAACTACTCCAGGGGCGCTTCTTGTGCACAGCAGAATCTTTAGCGCCTGCCTCCTCCTGACGCCTGTCTCTGCGCCGCTCACTTCTACTGTGTGTCGGCCAGAGAACGTCTCCCAGGCTGGGCATCCCTTCACCAGCCAAGATGCCCACCTGGCACTGCCCTTCAATGGCTCAGAGCAGCAGACCCAAGTTGCCTCCCTAGCAAGGTGGGAATGGAGAGATGGGTTTCATCCGGCGCTCAGTCCCAGTCTTCCTCCCATTCAGAACCAACCAGAACGAAGACAGTTGTTGCCATATTCAGGATGGACAGCAGGAAGGGCTCCTCCAAGGCTAGACATCGCTCCCACTAGACGCAGTGTCAGCAAGCCACCTGTGGGGGCCCCTCTGTGGCCACAAGACATGCTGGCTGTGGGCTCCCCGTGGAAGGAGAGGCACCTGGACTCCTGAGAGCAGCCGCAGGAAGGGTCTCTCACCCCAGGGACGTCCTGCACAAGGCCCTTGGGTAGCCATAGGGGGCAACAGGAGGCTGGGCTCAAGAAGCCTTGGGCCTGACCCAGCAGAGCAGAGCCCCCTCTGGTGGGCCAGATCCAGCCACTGCTGCCCAGGACTGTGGGAAAAGGGAGAGGGGGCTTGCCACTGCTTCACCCAGGAGCCCTTGCCCTTGCCGAGGTCCCTGTGCTGGTGTCCGAGGCGCCTTCCTGCATGCTTCTGCTCAGTCAAGGGGGCAAGTGCCAGGGCCAAGGCTGTGGGGACACCGTGGGGCTGGGTGCCTCCTCCTTGTGGGGTGGGGGCTGGGAGGTGTTCAGACGTGGCAGAGGGAGTCGTGAGAGGCAGGGGGAGAGACACTGCCAGGGCTTCCTTCTAGGCTGCATTCTCCTCCGTGGTGGCTGCTGTGTAGATGATGCTGGACTTGATGGGCTGAGAATCCCGTCTGCGGGGGGGGGGGGGAATGGGAGGCAAGTCGAGGCACATTTAGGACAGAGTTCTTCCCCCTCTCCCCAGCAGCCAGGTCTCCACTGGACCCCTTTGTGCCTCAGACTGCCCTTCCATTGGGGCAGGTCACAGACAGAAGCGGGAAAGGGGAGCAGCTCTTGGGACCCTCCCTGAGAAGCGGGAGAGGGGAGAGAGGCCGAGAAAGGGCTCCCCCCCAGCCAGGTGGGCTCTTGTGGCACCCCTCCCAGAAGCCCCAGATCCAGGAGCTGCCCTGAAGGAGCCTCTGCTGGGCTTTGTGCCTTCAGCCCCAGGGGCTTGCGATGCCCCTCCCCTCTTACCTGCGGTTCTGGGCCTGGTGCTTCCGGACATAGAGGAAGAAGGCGAGAGCAGTGATGCCAAAGAGAGCTGCAAAGATGGCGGCCAACACGTCCCCTGTGGAAAGAGAGCAACCTGTTGGTTCTGTCCTGGGGAAGGCAGCCAAGGGAGGCCTTGAGGGGAGTGAGGGAGGTCATGCCCTGTCTGGCTGGAGAAACTGGGCTGGTGGGGGGGGGAGCCCTTCTGAGGCACCTTCCAGGCTTGCATGAGGGGAGCCGTGACCCGCACATAAAGGGTGGCAGTGTGAACCACAAAGCCTGCAGGGAAACTGGTGGAGAAGAGCTCTTGCCCCAGAGCCCCCGGCAAGAAGGCAGTCAGGTCACAAGCTATAGTGGAGCAAGGGGTGGGGCACATACCTGTCTGAAGGGAGGAGCCCACCTGCTGGTCAGCACCTGGAAGCAAAGCAGAAAAGTGAGAGTCAGAAGCCAGGGAGAGGCAGCTGAGGGGCTCCTCTCCTGAGCTACTAACCAGTGATCAATGCTTCAGGTTGCGGGCTGTGTGTGTGTGTGTGTGTGTGGAGATGGAGGAGGGGAGACACAAGCCCCTAGTTCTGCTCTTACCTGAACTTGTGGCTGGACTCTGACCTAAAACACACAAGACAGTGAATTGTAGGAGGAGCTGTGGTTGTTTTCTTTTATATTTATTAGGCGCTTTGCTCACAAAAGTGTCTCAAAAAAGCTTACGGCAGAGTCTAGACACCAAAGCCAACAAGAACAAGCCTGCAGAACAGTAAAAACCCCAAAAGCGCCAGTGAAAGGCGTCACCTGCCACACGAAATGGCATAACAGCACTTTAAAAACCCTTAAGTTTCAGAGCCAAATGCCCAGGTAAAAAGGGAGGGAGGAGCCTGGTGCCAAAAAATAGGTAGAGCTTTGATTGATTGATTGATTGATTGCGGGGGGAGAGAGAAGACGTGAATTCCTCCCCTCCCAATTTTCACATGTGCCCACCATAGAAGATTTCCCAGCAGCAACCACACAAAAGCCACAGCAACTGAGGGAGCTTCACAAGGACCCCCACTCCCCCCAAAAAAACTCTGGGTGGTGCTGAGGCAGTGGCAGAACTTTTGAGGGGTTCATTCACATCTTCTTTGGCAGGAAGAGGAATGGTTTGACTGTTCCCCAAAGAATAGGAGCAAGAGAAAGAAGGGAGGCAGCAGGGGAGGGGGTTATGTAACACACCACCCTGCCCCACATCAGGCCCACAGCCTATAGATTGCAGCTCAGCCCAGATTTTAGCTCCCTGGGCGCCAAAGGAGAGCCCAGACAAGCATCAGGGGGGCGGCGACAGTGGCCAACCCGGCATGAAGAGAAGGGATTTGAAGAGGGAGCAGAGAAGGAAAGGAGCCTGCTGAGAGAGGAAGGGGCAGCACAGCCACCAGCCAGAGAGCCATACCTTCTCCAGAGGCTGGTTCAGGGTCTCTCCCTGAGGCACCATCTGGGGTGTGGGGCTGCCCTCCGCCTGCAAGGAGACCAAGAGCGTCAGACCTGCCCCTCCAGGGGAAGCCCCCAGGGCTGCCCTTCCTCACCCACAGCTGCTTCTGCCCTCAGAAGAGGCAGCCCAAGGGGAAATGCCTGCTGAGCCTGCCAACTGGAGTATCAAGGCGGGGGAATGTCTCCCTCTCTGGCCTCCACCCCAGAGGAAGCCCAGAAGCAGAGCTGCCAGCCAGACCTCCCCGCCAGGCCCCCCCTCATTTTGGGGGCAGCCCAAGGCCTTACCTGCTGCAGATCCTGCACTGTCGCCCCCACCTTCCTCTGCAGGACCATAAGGATCCGGGGCCCTTGGAGATCCCCCCTCACCTGCAGGATTGAGCACAAGGAGCTGGTCAGTGTTGTTTTGCGCTTTTGGTCCTTGTGCTCACTCAAGCCCCATAGCGAGACCTCTTGGGCCAGGGGAGCCCAGGTTCAATCTCGATTGGTGGCATTTACAGAAAGGGCTGGCAGAGAGTCATTCCTGAAACCTGGAGAGCCACTGCTGCTCTCGGAGCATGGGTGTCCAGAGGTCTGACCCTGTGACCCTCTGCTTCCTATGTCCCTGGGGCAACCACCTCATCCCAGGGAATCTGCAGCCCTGTGGCCCAACTTCACAGCCTCCGAGAGGAGTGCAAGGGAGTTGCCACAGCTGCGCCTCCAGGGAGTGTGGCTGGATTTGTCATTTGGTGGGGAAAGTAGGGGAGGCGCTGCTCTCCCTGAGCAGAACTTGCAACAGCAACGCACATCCCATGACAGACACTTTGGTTTCCCCATAACGGTCTGAATCATAGATGCATAGAATTGTAGAGTTGGACGGGACCACGAGGGTCATCTAGTCCAACCCTCTGCAAGGCAGGAATCAAAGAACTTGCAACCTTGATTTTACTAGCGCCAGGCTCTCACCAACTGAGCTAACCATCACCCAACCATTCAGGTTGCCTGAAACTGCCCCCCATAGGTACCAAGTGTGGAATTTGCTGCCAAGGAGTGTGGTGGAGTCTCCTTCTTTGGAGGTCTTTAAGCAGAGGCTTGACAACCATATGTCAGGAGTGCTCTGGTGGTGTTTCCTGCTTGGCAGGGGGTTGGACTCGATGGCCCTTGTGGTCTCTTCCAACTCTATGATTCTAAGTGCCATGCATATCAATGGTTGTCTTTGGAAGGGGGGCCATTGTTCTGCACAGCTCTCCTGGGATTGGCGGCTCTGGATGGGCAGGAAGGCAAAGGAATGGTCCTGGGCTTTGCTCAGCTCCATCAAAGGTTTCCTGCCCAAGCTTGGTGCTGTTGTCTAATATTAAGAGCCCTTTCACCTGTTCAGTGGCAGGAAGGTCCTCCCTGGCACCGAAGATTCAGGCTCCGTCTGGTATCTCCCCAGCAAAGCCACAGACGCCCTCAAGTGACGTCCATGCCAGGTGGAGACGGCAGAGCCCAAAACTCTCCTGTGGCTGCTGAGCAACTGCCTGGCAAACAATCCTATCACTTCCTCCAAAGGACTCCACCTGCCTCCCCCCCCCCCCGGCCAGGCCCAGCCGCCAGGTGAGGCACACCTTGGCTTGGGAGGGGGAACCTTCCTGTGACGCAGCAGCCCATTCAGGGAAACCAGGAAGGAGGGCAAGTGGCGGCCCTGGGAGGGAGGCCAGATCAACAGCCTTGCCTGATAACAAGATTGTCCCACGGCCCGAGGAATCAGGGTCAGACTGTGTGTGTTTTTGTGGGTGGGACGGAGGAGGCTAGGAAGTAGCCAAGGACCAAGGGAGGGAGAAGAGAGGAGAAGAAAGGGCTGTGTCTGTCCCAGAGTCATGGACCTCAGTACACAAGAGACAAGGCTGCTCAAGATCACCTTGAATGGAAGGACTGATCCTCTGATCCAGAACGAGACCAAGGCAGAAATCAGTGGGCGAGAGGAGCTGCTCAAAACTCTGAGAATCATAGAATGGTAGAGTTGAAAGGAACCCCAAGGGTCGATTAGTCCAACCCCCTGCAATACAGCTGCTCCCGGTACAGGGAAGACAAAGTAGCAGAACAAGGAGGAGAAGGAAAGAGGTCAGGGCAGGGAGCTACGAGAAACAAAGACTAAAGGAGAGATATAAATACTGGTGAGCATCAGGGGATGAAACATCCAGAGAGAGAAGTGGCCGGGCTCTGTGGTGGCAGAGGTGTTTCTGGGGAGGCTCTCCACCTGCCCTGGTCCCTGGCCCTCCTTCAGAGGGGATGGAGAACCAGTGGACATCCAGATGTTGCTGGACTCCAGCCCATAAATCATGAGAGTTGCGCCCCAAGTCCATCTAGGGAGCCACAGGCTGCCATGTTGCTGTTCTACAGAGTTGGAGGTGTGACCGTCCTGAGGCAGAACTCTCAGCTAAGCCCAACAACAGGCTCCCTTACCAGGTGGTTGAGCCCCTTCTGGGCTGTGGAGCATCGGGAAGCTGGCCAGGACACTCCGGCCCTGCAGACTCTGAGGCAAGCGGAAGTTGTCCTGGATCAGCTCGTCCTCATCTCCATGAAGGGTGTCCTCCAGCAGAGAGATCTGAAATGAGAAGGCACAGGTCATCGAGATGGAACATCGGACAGAAAACAACACTCCCAAGGATCCAAAGACAGACCTACTGTAGAGGGGAGTCCAGCAAACCACAGAATCATAGAATTGTAGGGTTGGAAGCACTCCCCAGGGTCATCTAGTTCAATGTCCTGCAATGCAGGAATCACAGCTGGATCACCAGACCACACACTGTGATAGAGAAGCAAGGCAACATGCAGGGAACCGTCTTCCTACAAGACAACCCCTCTGCATGTTCCTCCACCCAGACAGACCTGATCTGGGGACAGCTGAATTGTCTGGTTAAAGATCGTCCAGTTCACCGTCTGGTAACAAGGTGGAGTGGTCAGTGAGCCATTATAGCGGAAGTAGCGACTGAGGTCGTCAGGAAGGAGCATGGCTACATCAAAGGCAGGAATCCAGGTTTCTTCTCCTGGGAAAGGAAAGGAGGGGAGGGTGGTCCATAGTGAAGGGACCCAGAACATCCGCTTTGTTAGACGGCACCAGAGAGTTCCAGTAACGAGTGTGTGTGAGAGAAAACACAATGCACAATCTAACACAGCTCATGGGCCTTTTTCCTAAATGGACAAACCCTAAACATTGTGGCCTCTCCTCCTAGGGGAGTTGCTCCAGCCCCAAAATATCTCAGGTCCCAAAACATCACGAGGTACGCCCCCCCCAAAAAAGTGCAAATGCAGAGCTGTGTTGCAGAGCCCCTGCCCAAAGGGGCTGGAGCCCAGGGAGAGGCAGCCCTGACTCCCCATGGCCCAGCACCCACTCTGCACCCACAGAGTCTTGCAGGATTTCCCTAGACGAGGCAAAGCAAAAGCAGCCCAGCAAGAGCTGACAGGCTGGATGAGCATCTGCTGCCCATGGGCTCCTTGCAGCACCCCTTGCTCTTACCTTCCTCATGGACATCATTCAGATGGTCAAGGATGTGCTGATATGGCTCGTTTTCCTCCGACCCAACCTGGAATGGCAGTGGAAAGGGCTCTTGAGAGCTCTGAGTGGGGGCGTGTGCACCTCTCATGAGCTGGTGCTGGTGGATGTCTCCAACGCAGCCCCCTCCCACTGCCCCAGAGCGCAGGAGGAGCTGCTCAGACCCCTTGCACGGCTTCATTTGCCCCCTCTTCCTGCCACCGTCACCTGCAGAAATGCAGCCAGCACAGCCAAGCCTCCGGGCTCGACTTGCGCCTCCTGGATGGTGTCAAAGTGGGAGCTGTAATAAACCACATGAATCTGGAAGCAGAAAGAGAGAAGAGCCATGAGTCCCTCCAAAGTCCCATCTGGACCTTCTCCAGCAGCTCAAGAAGTCAGGCAGTGTTTCACTTCATACAGTATGTTTATAGAATGGCATTATGATATTGGTAGCTTTATTTTCCTATATTCCTCCAGGGATGGCCATCCTACTTTCAGGATTTCTTCCTGAGGTGCAGAGGCATCTAGCTGGCAACTTTGGGGCAAAGAATGCCGGATTCAATGGACCATTAGCTGAATTCAGCAAGTTTTCAGCTGGAAAGTCTATGCAAAATCATCTATGGCTCCGACTTGGTGGAATGCTCTGTCCCAGGAGACTAGGGCCCTGCAGGATTTAACCTTCTTCCGTCGGGCCTGTAAGACAGAGCTATTCCACCTGGCCTTTAATTTGAATTCAGCCTGATCTTTTATTTCCCTTCTCTTCCCTCCCCCCCCCCCCTTTTATGAAGATTACCCACTTTGGGACCCCACAGCTAATTCTCCCCTGGCCTCCTTGCTGGCCCAAGTAGGACTAATTCAGCCAGCTAGCCCTGGGGACTATCTAATGCTTATTGGATGGATTTCCCCCAAATTGATTTTTGAACTTTGAATTTTATTGTTATTCATGTTTTTATACTGTTATTTTATGATGCTTCTATGTTGTATTACAATTAAGTGTTTTAAATTTGTTGTTAGCTGCCCTGAGCCCGGTTTCTGAACCAGGAAGGGCGGGGTATAAATAAATTATTAATTATTATTATTATTATTATTATTATTATTATTATTATTATTACCTATAAATCCAAAAGGTGAAATTAATGGCTGCTATTTTTTAAAAATAAATACCTGTGCTTACCTGATATTATTATTTGTACTGTCATCATGCTCATTATATATGACATCATACAATATTTTTATACTATTCGATTGCGATACTGCCCTCATTGTTATGGATTAGACTGGACTGGTGAGCTTCCCTCCGAGGCATTTTTTTTGAGGGGGCGGGGCTGTAAATGTCATAAATCCAGCTGTGCTGCCCCCTCCACCGCCAAGCCCTTCCCTGACACTGCTGATGCAACCTTTGGGCCCCCAGATCAGCCAATGGCCTGGGGGCGTCACCAGCACCCCCTCCTGTCAGGTCTGTGGATCAGGAGGACTGGAGATTCTTTTTGGGGGGCTGTCATAGTTTTTATTTATTCGACCTACTCACAAGCCACCTGTCTGCATGAGACCCTCTCAAAGCAGCCAAGCAAGAGGCCAGAAGCAGGCGGGAGCCGCGCAAGGGGCAGTGGGACTTACCTCCCCAGCATAGCGGTGCCCATCCACTGTGTGCTCAGAGCCGGGCTTCAGGGCAGACCCCCAGTGCAAGTGCAGCTGGGCAGCCTGGTACGGCTGTGGGAATCCCCCGCCGGTGAGGGTCAAATTCCTGGGCAGGTCGAGGACCACTGCGGGGGGGGGGGGGGTAAAGGGAGAGACACTCAGGATGAGAGGCTGCTGCTTCCCTCTCCTTCTCTGCACGCTGGAGACAGAGCTTCCCTCCTTGGCATCCTTTGCACCAAGGGCACCGCTCAGGCAAAACTCACAAGGCGCCTGAGGGCAGAGGGCTCTGGTGCTGGTTGGCGAAGGGGAGAGCAGGATGCTGGAATGGATGGGTCCTATTGGGCCTGATCTAGCAGGGCTCTTCTTATGTTCTGAAGTGCCTGCTGGGCACCTCATCCACTTCGCCTTCTCACCAAAGGGAAGCCTAGAAACAAGCAGGCCCTGAGTGCAAGTTCAGCCACTCTCTCCCCAGCCATTGGCATTCAGAGGCACTGACTCCTCTGGCAGCGCAGGCAGGGCACAGTCCTCATGTCTAGTGGACATCAGTAGGTTTCTCTTCTATGAATCCCCCCCCCCTTGGGTGGGCGGCCATTCCTCTGGGCAACAGTTGTAAGGAAAATGGGCGGCGGGGGGGGGCACACAGTGAGTTCCGTCAGCTTTTCTGTCTTCTCTGCAGGCTGCTGCTTGCACTGCACAGGGAAGTCAGTCAGAGGAGGAGACCCCCTTCCGACAGCTGGCACAGTTTGGGCAGAAGTGCTGGCACTCGCACGCTGAGGCATCCAGGGATAGGTGTCTGCAGGTGGCATTGCAATGGCAAATGTATTCCCAGGTGCCCCCCCACCCGCCACTGGGTGAGGGTCTGCAGCCGGCCTAATTCCACACCCCTGACCCCCCACAGACCTTTGCATCCAAGGGATGGGGTGAGATTAAAAACTCCGCATCTCATTTGGATACTTTGACTTCTTTGCCAAATTGATAGAAAGAGGCCCCGGTTTCTGGGGTGGGAAACTTGGCGGGAGGCCCCTTCTCCTGCCTCTTCTTGAGAGCTACAGCTGCTGCTTTTGTGGCAGAGGCAAGACCTTCCGGCAAAGACTCTCTGGGCTGCGCAGCAGAGCTCCTTGCGCTGCCTCTCTCTCCAGGAAGAGGAGCTGGAGGCTGGGTCTGTGGCAGGTCCCTCTGGGACTCAGAGGGGCCCCTGAGGACCTTAGCCTAAATGGTGGGCCTCTTTCTCTTAATTTTCAGATAAAAGCATACAAATACCAACTCACATGTTGTCAGGGGTTCAGGGAGAGAGGCACAGATGAGGGAGGAGACTGAGAGCGAGGGGGAAGAATCCAGGAACGAGGAGGAGGAGGATGACAATGACTTGAGGGCTTCCATGAGTCTCTCAAGTGAATCGGAGGATTCCCAAAAGGGGGCGCCCCTGGTCAGGCCAAGGGGAGCCACAGGGGGGACTCGTCAGGAACAGGGGAGCAGCAGGGAAACCCCGAGTGGGAGTTGGAGATCGGGGCCGGCTTCCCCGCCAGAACGGAGTGAAGAGGGTGGAGTTCCCAGTGTGGCAGACGAAGCAGAGCAGGAAGCAGAGAGGGGAAGGAGATCGGGGCAAGACGTCCTGCTGGAAGGGGCGGAGAGTAGTACAGAGAGTAGTGTAACTGTCAAGAGGAAGGTCAGGGGTAGCGAACGCGCGCCAAGTTCAAATGTGGAGGCGTGCGGAAATGCGGAGAGCCCGGAGGAGGAGCCTGGTCCCAAAGCACGGAGGAGGGGGGAACAGGCGTCTGGGGACTCAGCGTCAGGGGAAAGCAGGAGGGAAGGAACCCAGGGGGGCAGAAAGACCCTGCGGAAAAGGAAGGACAGGAAGAGGTGGACCAGCACAAGCCTCTTAAACTGGTGTAGAGGCGGGACTGATTCAGAGGGGACTTCAGCGGAATCCAGCTGAAGCAGCTGAAAGTTAATAGTGTTGTCAGGTGAGGCAAAGTGTATTATTAAGCAGGGCGCTTAGGTCTGCAAAGGAAGAAAGTTTGTGGTGAGCACCCTGTATGTGTTCTACATTTCAGCCTGCAAGTAAGGAATATAAACAGCGGGAGGAGGGGAATAAAATTTCAAGGAAAGCTGGAACACAGAATAAGCTACCAATGTTCAAGGCCAGAGGTGATTTCCCAAGAACGCTTGATACACCGTGAAAATTGAAACAACTGAAGCACCTTTGAATGAGCAAATTTCCCCCCTGAATTGAAATGAATGAGTCATCCCAGAAGCACAGAGATCCGTCTGCACATCTGAGCACACACCGAAATCCCAGTAATACCGATTCTGAAGTCTGACTCCCAACTACGCGGAGAAGCATTGGCTGATTACTATCTGACCTCTGTAACGAGGTAGGAGAAGACTGAGTTGTACCATTCACCTTGGCATCCACTTGAGGCTGAAACACCAGAAGATCCATAAACAAAAAAAAAATCTCAGGAAAGTGTTCTCAGAAGGAGTTGGATGCGGACTTCCAGCGAGGCAGCATGGCGGCAGCAGCAGAAGAAAAGAGCTCCTGAAGCCAGCCAGAGTAAAAGGCTCTGGCGACCGATTCCCGGACCCCCCAGGACTGCTGCTGCCAGCACTGCCAACGGAGAGGAATTGGGGGTGCCCGGGCATCTATCAAAGGAGCCAAAACACCCCCCCATGACCTTGATTGAGCCGGAAAGGCACCCGACCCCCCCCCCAACAGCCGAGAGGAGCTCCAAAACCAGGAGGACAGTGGAGCTAACGCAAAGAGGGAGAAAGAAAGGGAGAGAGAGGAAGGAAAAGAAAGAAAGAAAAAGGAGCCCCAAATTTACCGTTGCTGCCCCCATCTCTGCCGACGGGAAAGCAGAGGAGAGGTAGGTGAGCACGGTGAAGGCAAAATAGGCTTCGGGGAAGGAAGGGGGAAAAAACACACGTGGCTGAGCCCTACCGGGAGCTCCAGCGGCAAGGAAAACACAGAGAAGCTGCATAACAAAGGAGACCACAGAAAAGAAAAAACAACCTTCCCCCCCTTTTTTTTAACTCCCCCTTTTTTAACCCCTTCCTTCCCCTCCCTCCCTCCCTTTAAAGAAAATATATATATACATCTTTCTTATCCCTCCCCCCCATATACCTACTTTTACCACTTTTCTTTTTAAAAGAGGGGCCACTGCTGCTGCAGCCACCCTTTATTTGAATCTTTACTTTTATTTCTATCTTTTCTACTCACTATTTAAAGACACACTTTTCCACACCCACATCCTCAATTTAAACCTCATTTTATTTCCACCTCAAACTCCCCTCTTAAGATTTAAAATGGCAGTACCCAGAAAACAGCCCTGAACCATCACAGGCCATTTCCTGGGACTGCCACTTCGCCCCAGACTTTCCACTCTCTTTTACCTACCCTCTTTTACCTATACTTTACTCATTTTTTTTAAAAAAATAAAAAGCTCTATCTAAAGACAACCCCCCCTTTTTTTTACCTTTAATTCTCATTTTTATCTTTTACCCGTACATTTTTGGTTGCTTTTCTGCAGACGGAGAGTGGTGGCGGTGGTTGGGGGGGACATAGTATTATTATTTTTTAAAAGACAGAGCAGAGCCATACAATTATTCTTCTTTTCTTTCTCTTTTTAAAGCTCTTGTTGGCTTGTTCCTGAGGGGGGAATCTTTCGCCCCCAGCTACGACCACCACTCTCTTTTAAAACAAAAATTTCCTCCATATACCCATTTGGAGAATAAAAAATAATTGCATGGTTTTGTTTGATTTGTTTTTCTTAAGAATAATATTTCCCCCTGGTTATTGTTGTTATTTTTTGTTTGAGGGAAAGTAATTAAAAATGGAGGAAAATTAAACATATACCCTCTAATCTCTTGCATCTCTACCTGCTAACCCCCTTCCCTTTATATGAACTGTCTGTCCATTAGTCTACCCATCTCTGCTTACCTGCCCCCCCCCGCCTCGGCGGCACCGCTGAGGCATCTACAGAAGCCCTAGAGAAGTTCTTAAAACACAGGCTAGAAGTGACACAAATGACCACCTAATCCAAACGCTCTGTAAAAGCCACCAGCCAACAAAGCCTGATCAGCTCAGCAACCCAACAATACCCAGGAATCACCACTGCCACAACTCCTAACCATCACACGCCCAACCCCAAGAGGATGCCAAGCCAACCTCAAACCAAAACCATCAGGGAGACCGAGATGACACCAACCAGGGAGATGGCAAACAATGCTAAGATGGTAACTCCCCTTCAAGATGATGACCACCCAATAACGAAACGAGATCTGAGGGAAATGGAAGCACGATTAGAAGAAACACTGAAGGCCACAATGGCTCCCATGCAGGTACTAATCAACAATCTAACCTCCAAAGTGGAAGCTCTAGAGAACAAGAACCAAATGCAATAAAGAATAATAGAAGAATACCGGGAGGAGAATGCACGTGTGAACAAGAAACTGGACGAACTGGTAAACCAAATGGAAGCAGAACACAACGAGATGAAAATTAAGCAAGCCGACCTTGAAGACCGCAATAGACGTTGTAACATCCGCTTCCGCAACTTTCCTGAAAAAACAGAGGAGGAAAGCCCAGCAGACCTAATTATACGCTGGCTGAAAAACACAATCCCAAGCCTGAAACTTGAGGCAGATGACTTGGAGAGGGCTCACAGAGCCCTAAAACCTATGCCAAAACCCAGCGCCCCCCCGAGAGACATCATTGTATGCTTCACACGCTACCAAAAGAAGGAAGAGATATGGCACCAACTCAGAAACTCAAGCAACCTTCGATATGGAGAAACCCCCATTCTGGCCTTACAGGACCTATCTCAGGATACCCTAAACCAGAGGAAAAGCCTGCGCCCATGCACCCAGCGTCTCCAACAAGCAGGGATCAAATACCGATGGGGCTTCCCCTTCCGCCTCATTGTAACAACGAACACAACACAACACATGGCTACCAACATACCTGAGGCCCTGCAACTACTAAAGAACCTTGAACTCGACCTCCCGCCGGAATGGAAACCGACAAACCCACCAAGTGACAGCCCCAACCACGAGGAAACAACAGCAAACAACTGGACAACGGTACAGAAGAAAAAGATACAACAGAAGCGGCGCAACAACGCAA